CCTGGTAGCCGAACTGGTTGCAGGGGAAGCCCAGCACGACCAGCCGCCGGGGGTAGCGGGCCTGCAGCTGGTTGAGCTGGGTGTAGTCCCGCACGGTGGTGCCTCAGAGCGATGCCACGTTCTCGATGAGGACCACACGGCCCCGAAAGTTGTTGAAATCCACCTTCTCCCCCTGCAAGGAGATGGCGCTGAGGTCGTAGAAGGACTTGGCGATGGGCACGGTCATGGTTGCGGACGCGCTCTGCCTCCCGCGCGCCTGCCGGCGCTGCCTTAAGGGCTGCGCCCTGCTCACGTGACATCCCTGCTCCAAAGGTCTCCTTGTCCTGGCGTGGCTTGGCAGAAACTGGAGCTGTCCCACCTGCTGGCTCAGGTCCAGCACAAGGAGGAGGATGTGGAGAACTGGGGTGGCTCGGGGCCAAGGCGATGCTCCTACCTGCCTCAATAATTCATGCCGCCCGCTGGGGTGTGATGGAGCGTGGCTGCTCTCCCTGTGGCGGTGGGATATGGGACGCTCGGGGGCATCAGCCTGGGGCTTGACTGCTCCAGCCCAGCTTCTTCCAGAGGCCTGGGAACACCCTGGGGGTCTCAGGTGAAATTGGGAAACAGCAGGACTCCGGGTGCTGGTGCTTCAGCTTGGCAGGGATGGAGGTGGTGGTCAGCTTGTGGCACTGGGTCCTGCACCCAGCTGGAGCCCGGCTGGGCGCTGGGGAGGGCTGGGTACCCTGATGCACCTCTGTCCCCAGACTGCCGCTGGGTAGCTGCCTTGGCATCGCTCCTGTGCCCGTCCCTGGCCTCTGGCACCCCCTCATGCACTTGCCATCCCCGATTGCCTTCTCGGTGCGCCTTTCCATCGCAGTGCCCACTGCTGTCCCATCCCCACCTGACCCAATGCCCACCACCATCCTGGTGCCCACTGCCACCTTGGTGCCCACCATCCCCTACTCACTTGCCCCAGTGCCCACCACCATCCCAATACCCATGACCATCCCAGTGCCCTCTATCTGTCCCAGTGCCTCTCCCCATCCCACCTCCATCCTGGTGCCCACCCACCCCAGTGCCTACTGCCCATGGCCCCTCAGGGCTGCTCTCCTGGCTCGGGGTTGAACTGGAAGCCCGGGTGAGCACGGTGCCCTGCACCTCCACGGACCCGTCCCCAAGCCCGGAAAGGGGAC